TATAATTGCTGCAAGTCAGAAAAATATAAACAAAGCGAAGCCAAAAAGATCCACAAGAACAATAAGAAAAGCTGGTAAGGATCACTAAATATAAAAAAAAAAAAAAGCACCAAGATTACCAAGAGAATTTCAATAAAGCAAAGCTAGAAAGATCTACAAGAACGATAAGAGAAGCCTATAAGAATCACTAAATATATATAAAAATAAAAAAAAACAGAAAAATATAAATGAAGTGAAGCCAGACTCACAAGACAATAAGAAAAGCTAGTAAGAATCATTAAATATTAAAAAAAAAAAAACACCAAGATCACCGGAAGAATATAAACGAAGCGAAGCCAGAAAGATCTACAAGAACAATAAGAGAAGCTGGTAAGAATCATTAAATAACAAAAAAAAAAATACATACTTATCATAATTGCCGCAAGTTAGAAGAATATAAACGAAGCGAAGCCAAAAAAATCTACATGACAATAAAAAAAGCCGGTAAGAATTATTAAATATTAAAAAAAAAAAAGCACCAAAATTACCAGAAGAGTATAAACGAAGCAAAGCCAGAAAGATCCACAAAACAATAAAAAAAGCCGATAAGAATCATTAAATATTAAAAAAAAAAAAAAGCACCAAAATTACCAGAAAAGTATAAATGAAGCGAAGCCAAAAAGATTTACAAGACAATAAGAAAAGCCAATAAGAATTATTAATTGATGATCCGCCACTCAACAAATGCATGATTTTAGTAAAATATAACTCAGATTACTATATAAATTTACTATAGTGTAAATGCTGCGATCGCGCAAGGTAAACTTTTTTTCATACTAAGATAATTGATTTTCTGACTTAAGAGACTTTTGTGGAGCTTGTCAAAACGCATCTAATGGTAGTTAAAGTGTCAAAATTGGGTTGGTAGATGCTGAGATATCTTTAAAAAACCTTTCTTTTACTATGTAAACTTCTTTGCAAACAATACTATTGTTTGCAAAGAAGTTTATATAGTAAAAGAACCATTTTTTAAAGATATCTCAGCACCCACTAGGCTAATTTTGATGCTTTAACTACTATTAGATGCGTCTTGACAAGCTCTACAAAAGTCTTTTAAGTCAGAAGATCAATTACCTTAGTATAAAAAAAAGTTACTTTGTGCGATCGCAGCATTCGCACTATAGTAAATTTATATAGTAATTTGAGTCACATTTTACTAAGATCATGCATCTGTTGAGTGGTGAATCATCAATTAAATATTAAAAAAAAAAAAAAAAAGCACCAAAATTACTAGAAAAGTATAAACGAAGTGAAGCCAGAAAGATCTACAAGACAATAAAAAAAGCCAGTAAGAATCATTAAATATTAAAAAAAAAAAAAGCACCAAAATTACCAGAAAAGTATAAATGAAGCAAAGCCAAAAAAATTCACAAAACAATAAGAAAAGCCAGTAAGAATTATTAAATATTAAAAAAAAAAAAGCACCAAAATCACCAGAAAAGTATAAATGAAGTGAAGCCAGAAAGATCTACAAGACAATAAGAAAAGCCAGTAAGAATCATTAAATATTAAAAAAAAAAAAAAAAAACACCAAAATCACCAGAAGAGTATAAACGAAGTGAAGCTAGAAAGATCTACAAGACAATAAGAAAAGCTAGTAAAAATCATTAAATATTAAAAAAAAAAAAAAAGCACCAAAATCACCAGAAGAGTATAAACGAAGCTATATATACCAACGAAATTATTTCGGGTTCTAAAACCCGAAATTAAAATTCGAAGACGAAATTGTTTTTGACCTATTTTACTTAAAAGACAAAATATCTCGGTACCCACCAAGCCAATTTTGACACTCTATCCACCATTAGATGCATCTTGACAAGCTCTATAAAAGTCTCTTAAGTTAAAAAAGTGATTAACTTAGTATAAAAAAAAGTTTTAGATACACACACGCCACATTTGGAGATCTCCAATTTTTATAAATAATTTGAGTCACATTTTACTATGATCATTCTCTGGTTAACTAGTGAATCACTAATTAAATATTAAAAAAAAAAAGCACAAAATCACCAGAAGAGTATAAACGAAGTGAAGCTAAAAAGATCTACAAAACAATAAAAAAAGCCAGTAAGAATCATTAAATATTAAAAAAAAAAAAAAAAAAAAAAAGCACCAGAAGAGAGCATGGCGGACATTCAATTTGATTGGTCAACAAAATGTAAACAAGTAAACAATATGCATGATGTAGATCATAATATTACCTATAATGCCCACGATAATTAGCCAATTAAATTAATATTAAAAATAAACCTTTGCTTAAAGAAGCTTATTACAAACCAATAATTACACACAAAAAATTTATCATATAAGGTTATAAATATATATAAAGTAGAATAAATATAATATTTATTATTAAATACCCAACTCATTAAAGAGTTAATACATATATGAATAAATTATTAGCAAAACTATCTGTTTTTTTATTTATCTTTTGAAAGAATGATTTTATTTCATTATCATAACTTTTATTAGAGATACAACACGACTTTTAGGCATACAATTAATAAAACAATACTCATATACTGTACATACTATCAACGTACTACTTAATCTGAAGTTATTAATGTTTTACTCTACTGTATAACAGTATATAAGTAACTGCACAACACTGTCACGCTAAACCGGGAATAGACGAATATTAGCTTCATTAAGAAAATGTTGGACGGCTCCAATATATATGAGTTGTAATTTTGAATTCAGATAATAAATATTGGGTATATACTAAATACAGCATAATTATATTAATATGAGACAATTTAAACAAACAAAAAATTTAATAAGATTTTTAGATAGATATAGTATAAAATGTAAAATACCTTTTTAAAAAACATATTGCAACAATCCACCACAATTTTTTAATGCTAACCTTAATGATACATAACATTGGAACAAATATTAAAAATAGGGATATTTTACACCCTATACAATACAGATCAATATCAGCAACATAGTATCAAAAGATTGGAATACCCCGATAACTTACTTTTAGGCTTAGAGTGCTAAAAGTAGGATATCAGGGGATCCCAATATGTTACCGATATCGATCTACCTCCCGAAATCTTACCCATATGTTGTTAATATGTTGCTGATATTCAGCAAGTAGGATCTATAGAAACTAACGGGTACAGTACATATTGGGAAACTTTTCTACTGGTATGCACCCAATATTCATTAATCCAACCTGTGTAATATAGATAAGAAGCTAAATGAGATGTTAACAGCTCATATTAAATACTTAGACAAATTAGACCAATGAACAATTACTAACCTTAGACTAAGGGTGCTCTCAATGTGATTGGATAGCATAAGTGTTATGATTAATTCTGCAATCTCTACTGTAATTTTGCTAAAGTCTAACAAAAAAAGATGGCTTCAACATTAATTGAGTTCTGATCTATAATAATAATCTATATGTTGAAAGAATCTTATATTTTATAAAAAAAATTAAAATGAGAATTAATTAATACATATATTGATTGATAATGTTCAATTGATTAAATAAGAAAATACTTAATTGAAATATCATAAAAAACCTAACAAAGAGTTTTGTATGCGACTTAGTTGGGCCGAAAAAAAAAGTGTCAGTTCCGTGATTGTCATGATCAAAACTTGAATCTATAACCATCAAAAATTAGCATTAAATGATATCAATACTGTTTATCAAAATATTAGCATATTTTTGATGTTTATAGATTCAAGTTCTAATCATAACAATCACAGAACCGACACTTTTTTTTGGCCTGACTAAGTCACATCAAAAGCTTTACATTCATCTTTCTCAATACCAATACCATAGTGATAACAATAACCGAGATTAGTCTTCCAGTAACATCACCCGCTTTTACAGATTTTTGATACTATTTAAAATCTTTGTGTTTGTTTTTCCTCTTCTCAATTTCAAATTGATAGCAGCATTCTATATTGCGCATAATTAGCATAATTAACAGATTCATCGGTTATTGATGTTGATTTACGATGACAAAATATGTAAGTTAAAATAAATAAATATCTTTAATAGCCTTTTAAATAAATTTCATCTAATAATTTTGCTAATGTACATTTCATCTAGATACTTCGGTATCGGTGATGGTTTAATAACATTATCAGCATCCAAAAACTGCTTTTTAATTTCTTTATCATCTGAACTAGCTATCTTCTCAAACTAATATTTTATTGACCAATAAACATTCTAAGCACTAGGCCGTTTTTGTGAATCGGAATTTATGCATTTCTCAGCCAATTCAATATAGTATCAGGTGCAAACTTTGGTTGTGATCCTTTACAAATTTCTAATACAAGTTTTAAATTAAATTCATGTTCATCAAAAGGTCTTTGACCAGTGACATTTCTGCCATAATAATATCAAACCCATAAATATCTGCTACCTGTATAAACGTCTTATCGCTTGATAAAACTTCAGAAGCAACATAGAGCATAGCTCCATAAATTTCGCCAGTTGAAACTTTCTCATCTACTTTCTAAACAATCCCAGATCTGCGATATAGGAATGTGTATTTTCATTAGTGCGTTTGATCTTGCAAAATGTTACCACTGTGAAAATCTGCATGGATGTATTTTGCATCATCATGAATACTATATAACTTATATGCAGTATCTGTAATTTAGTTTGCCATGTAAGACTAATAAAAATTTTTCTTAAGTATTTAGATTAAGGAGATTTGATATTTTCGACACTGATCTAAATAGTGGCATGGAGCATTTACCAGACAATTGTAAACAAATAATTTCTTATTATACCCAAAAAAGACCCGAAAGCAAAGTTCAAGAAATGTGACGTCGTCAATCAAAACATAGCTTAGTAAAATTGATCATTTTCTGAAAATTGTTACACACAGTGATAAAAAATTATGAGATTCTTATAATTTTCATCACTATATGTAACAATTTTCAGAAAATGATCAATCTCACTAAGCTACGTTTTGATTAACGACACCCCAAATTGCCTAACAATTTGATTTATTTAACAGCGAAAAACAAAAATAGTGAGAAAACTTCAGCTTTGCGTTACTGGAAATCAAGCATTGAACAGAAGCTGGCTTACGTTATGAAAACTTCCATTATCAGCATACTGAGAGACTATCAAGTAATCTTTTGTTTTTGTGTTTTGGGTTATTCCATATCTTGCGAAACTACCATAATTTAATTTACATGTTATAAGACTTTTAAACTTAAAGTTTAACTAATGAATTAGCTCAATAAACTATTAGATAAACTATTAAAGCAATAAATTAACTTACTTCTTTTGTTTTTCTCAGAGCTGGCCAACATCTTGAGTACAATGGTACTGGATAGTATATGTGCTCTTTTGTAAATATAACTAACTTTTCATATGCCATCTAACCAGGTTGCTGAATATACGAAACCAAATCCTCTTTACCAATTTTTTTAATATCAGATAATTTATTAAATGGAATTCACTCAATTGCATCTTCATATTTCCAAGCTTTAAATTGGAATGCTTTCAGACAATCAAGTGGCGACAAATACATGTTGCTAGATCTTTGTTGTATCGAATATTATATGAAGAATATCCAGTAAAAACTTCTGATATAATTATTCTAAAAAGAATAAACATCTGATTTTTGAGTGTTGCACTCCTTTTGAATATCAAGTTTTAAAATATGATTTTAGAGAAAAATAAAGTGAAAAATATTTAAATTAAACTTTCTGCTTACCCTAGAATATTCAGCTTCAGTGCTGTTTAATGGTATTAAATCTAAATGATGTGCAATGAATTCATCTGCTAACACAGAAGTGTTTGGTTCAAATTCTACAATATCAATAGCTGCTTTTCAATAAAATAAATATAATCAATATAATAAGCTTAGCATACTCTGATAATATATTTTACCTATAGTAGCTATTTCAGAAAGCATTATGCATCTCAGAGCATTTGTCATGCTGAAATGTGCAAGATATTAGATTTTAAACTTCTTACTCATAGCTAAATCATAAATAATACCTCAGACCCACGTTCGTAAGTATAAATTTAACTTTTTCTGTGGTGAGCTCTTGGATTTTTAGCTCAGTTTAACCATTTGTGTATAGTACTTCTGGAGCGATATATGGAAAAAGTCCTTTTGAATTTGAGTCTTGTGATACTGGCTTACATAAACCAAAATCGCAATATAAGAACTAAACATTTTAATTAACTATATTGCCGGAATAAAAATCTTTATAGGCTTCGTGAGTATTAAGCCCATCAGCTATGTAATATAAGATTGCTACTTTAGAAGCCCAATCTATTTCACCATATTTACTAACTAACAATTTTAAAACTTCCTTGCTTTGTGTACTTCATAACTATCCTATAGTTGCTATCTTTTGGGCTCTTGGTTATTCCATAAATTGCAATTGCAGAATCGCCCTCTATTGAAAAAGAGCAAAGAATTTAATTAGTACAATTTAAAGCTTTAGCAGAATCTTATCTTGAATACAAGGAGGTATTACCACGTCATTAGTTGCTTGGGTCAATAGAAATGGCATTGAGTTTGGAAGCAAAAAAAAAGCTTAATAATAATTAATTTATAGATTTGTTATAATGTATACCATATTACCATATTACTTGCCCTAATTTGCTCTCTAAGCAAAGTTTTCGGGGATACTGATCTATACTGATCTTTCTTTACACAAAATATACGAAGAGTTAAAGAACGTTATTATGTAATTTAATAAAAGTTTATTATGTAAAACCATAAGTTGCCAATTGACGATATAGTTTTTCATAGTAAGGGTTACTTTAAAAATTTTTTTTATATTGTGTAACTCAGTGATCTTCAAGCCAATCAAATCGAATGTCCACCATGCTACTTTTTATAAAAGTCTTGTAAACATTTTGTGTGCTATTTGAATTTTTTATTATCAAATTATATAATAATAAATTAGTAATTATGATATAAAATAAAGATAATATAAATATATTAGTAAAAAGAAATAACAAATACATCTAGTCAAATATTAGTTAAAAACAAGTATGTATTTAATTTTTTTTTAAACTTTGACAATTCTGTTTCTATTAACTAAAAGTAAAGTATATATAGTATCTAAACAAATAGCTTGCAACAACTAAATGCCTTTAACCTTTTTATTTTTTAATAAAACTTACTTAGCTGTTTGTAATTTTGCCCAAGTGCAATCTGTAATAGCAATAATTCTCTAATCTCTAGTGTTTAACTTGCTAGACAATAACTCAATATAATTATAATGAATTACTAAAACTTAATGAAAGCTTATTGCTAACTTTGCTAAGATTGTCTTTTTTTTAACATTTTTCATTTTTTAAAAGTGCTGAGAAAATAGAAAAAGTATAAAAATAAACAAATATAAAAATAATCAAAAAAAAAGAGAGAGAAAAAAAAAACAAAGAAATAAATTATATAATAACAAATATAAAGAGAAATAGAAAAAGAAAATAAAAAATAAAAACAAAAAGAATAGTAGAAAATTCTGTTTATTACAAAAATAGCTATAATACTATTATACATATATTAGGCTTAAAAAAAATAGACTATTTGTATATCTCTAATATAAAGCTATGCCTTAACATTTAATTTTTAAACTAGATTATCCAATTTCAAATATATTATATAGTACTAATCAATATTATATATAGTAATACAGCTTATAAACAAAATAAATCAGACATGTAGTTATAGTCTGCTAAAGCTATCTAAATTTGAAAAGTATAAACAATGCCAATCTTTTAGAAAGGGTAAGCTGTTTTGCTAACTTTGGTAGAGATTTTGAAAAAGCAGCCAAAGTGCAAAAAAAAGAGATAAAACTACTTGTTTTGTTTAATAAAAGTATATGTATTTTCTTTACTAAATACAATAACAATTTATAATATTCTCATATTAAGAACAAAAAAATGCAAAAACTCTCCTTTTTAGTAAATGATAAACTTTGAGCTTGTTAGCAAATAGTATATAAAAACTATTTCTAAATGACAATTGCTATTTCTAGCAGTAAATTATAAACTCTAAAGAAGTTAACAAGTAGTATATAAGAACTATCTCTAAATAACAACTGCTAGTTTAAGAACTTGTTCTCTAACTATTTTTAACTTTTAATAAAAATTTTAGATTTTTTGTAAAAGTGATTATCAGAAAAAGTGTAATATTAAACTATTTTTTAAATATATATATATTAAGTCAATCTTTAGATTCTAATAAATAGTACTAGTTATATGAGTAGTATACTTTCCTTCAAATAACAAGTATATACAAAAAAAAATACAACAATTTTTTTAAAAAAATATTACTAAAAAGAAATTAAATACAAAAATATTAAAAAAATAAACATTTCAATAACTAACTTATAAAAGTAGTAACTCCAATAAGCAAGTATAGCAAACTACTTCTAATAAGATGGCTTTAAAAATAAATTATCTATAGTATAGGTGGATAATATAAAAATATTATAAAATTATAATATAAAAAAACTCTAACCTTAACACTAATCTAATCTTAATTAAACTCTAACTATAGTGTTTTTTTTTTTTTTTCACTAGTCAATTTGCAATTATTTTTTTCAAATTTCTACTTTATTGTATTGTTGTAGCCAGATTTCTTCTTAAAAGAATAAGTATCACTAATTTCACTATTCAAGTCTATGGCTTTAGCTACTTTTTTTAAAATGTCTTTAGTTTAATAAATCCTCTATAAGATAAAACAGAAAAATGAAAAAGAACCAGGAGATCTATCTATAATAAATAAAAATAATAATAAAAAGAAAAAATTTTAAAAAATTGTATAAATATAGTAATAAAAGAAGTAAATAATTGAGTATGAATTAGTAAAAATCCAAGTAGAACAAAAATTAAAATAGATTATAACAGGCTATAAATCCTAGTTATTGAACTATAAACTTTATATCTAAGATAGATAAAGATAAAGTATCAAAGCTAGTTCTACTTCAGAAAGGTATATATAAATACCAATAGGCAACAAGATAAGCTACACTTTAGTTTAAAAATAGCAAAGCTATAAATAAATTATATATATTTTTTTAAAAAATATATAAACTCTATATTAAAAATAAACTTGTGATATGATTATTGTGTTAAGACCAGACACAATTATACACAACAATTAACCAACACCCCAGTTCTAATTGATAGACTCAACTCAACCCTGCTGAATGCATAAAACTCAGAGGCACATGTATAATTATTGCTATTTACTTGTATAAATTTATACTAATTATATATATCACAGCATTATTATTAATTAACAGCCATAGAACTACGCATAATTAGGTACATAACAAGCTATTACTCCTTTTTGTATAAATACTTACTTGACAAAAAGCAATAACTTTTACTTAGAAAAATATTGACCAAAGATATTATACAAGATCTATATAATATTTAGTCCAGCTTTAATAAGAAACCTTTTCTTTTTCAAACTTTATTTTTCAATATAGCATGAATAATTTGTCATACACTAGCACTTTCCAAGCCTTCACTAAATTAGTCAACCTTACTGCTACAACAACTGTTGGTTCTTCTCAAATCAACAATAACACAAAGATTTACATTAATGCAATACACCAAACCTTAGCTAATACAATAATTGTATCTATTAAGTTATATCTCAACCAATACATAGTGCCCAAACTGACATAATCAACAAACTTAACTAACACATTGACCTATATTTCAACCAAATCCAGCAATACATACCCAACAACAACATTTTGAGCTGCCACAGGATGACTTCTTTATGATAAAACAAGCCCAAAAACCTAGTACAACAGCGCTCCAACAGCAATCTTTCAAACACCAACTCAGATCTTCTTTAACCTCTATATGCAAAAAGTTTAATACACTCACAACATGGTGACTAGCAAAACAGTCTGACCAAGACACCTTCTTTCAACAAGGTAATTGTCCACTAACTCTCTTCTTAATAACCTCATCATCAACTACCAACTGCACAGCCTAGCACTAACACACCACACTAGTCTATTATCCCAGGCATTTGGCATGCTACAAACAAAGACCACTCCAAGAAAATTCCTCTTGTTTGATTATAGCAAAACCAATCTTCTGCCAGTTTCTAGTTTCACAACTCTTAGGCCACATGCAAGGAGAGAATCAGGCTTTGGTAAATCCTCAACTAGAATGACAGACAAAGTATTAGAAATACTATCAAACAAGCCAAACTTACTACTATGCCTCTGGAAAGTTATTGCAGTCAGAAACTATACCGACCTTATCAAATTTGGCTACAAGAATCTTAAAGCAAATATGAAGTACAACAAGGAAGAACAAACTTTGTAAACTACTAAAGGTGGTATAATTGCTATCAGAAAACACAATAGGTTCTACAAATTCAACAATATTTCAAAATAGCTTTTAGTATTCAAAACCTAGAGCATACCAATGCCATTTGGCACTGGGAGACATGAATACATTTGTGTTATTGTACAAAAAAATACAAACTGGTATAGATGATACAAACCTATAATAAGGCATTCTAGATTGTAATAAGTTAAAGACCTATTTACAATAGCCTGAAAAAACCAAAACTAGCTTGGCAAACCCGATTAAGGAAGTAGCAGATTGATCTAACCAAGTATGACCTGATACTACAAAATAGATTTAGCTGGATTCCAAAAATTAGAGAAGTTGTACAATAAAGATTTTCTTGGCAAAGGGGATTTATCAAGCCACCGAGTTATCTGAAAGAAAAGATTATATGTTATGAAATCATAAGCCAAGAATCAGAAGACCTTTAAACTTAAGTCTGAAAAACTCAGTTCTGGGCAAACCAATCCTCTGGGCCATCTGAATTGGAAGTACAACAATACTAAAAGGAGTAAGGTATAAAAAGTGATAAAATGTAGTACAGAGATCTGTAAACTTTAAAAGAGTAGAAAGTAAATAATAGTAGGAGTTCAATAGTTAGCCCTGATTCTAAGTGTATATATTAAGCTATGGTATAAGTTACTGAAGCCTAGATGAATATATTGTAGGAATATACTACTCTAGCAGGTTTATCTTGAGAATAAATAAGAACAAATGGTTTTATCCTAAGTTTGGTTGTTAATCTAATGGTGTTATATAGATCTATATACTTGGTATATGTGATCAAGTTACATCCAGGTTATGAGTTCTACTCAGTAAAAGTAAGAATATAATCAGAGGGTTTAAATAGGTACCCCATATAGTGAGATGCAGATACAGCAGATAGTGTAGAACCCTTAGCATAGCATTACTGCTTTGGCCAGACTACTTAAATTAGTCATCAAAAGTGCATGTATAGCTATATGTACTCTTATTATAACTGAATCAATGTTTATAATAATAAATCACCATTGACAAAGAGATCATCTTAATATCAAAATATATATATATAATATAAACTATACAAATAAATAATATTTTTATATATTATATAATATAAAAGCCAAATAAGTTTTAATAAGCCAATAGCAATTTTAAGCAAGCCTATTTGAGCTAGCTCATTGAAGAACACTAGTTGAAACTAGTAAAAAAGGTTTGCCAAAAGGTCTAATTGGATAGCTAGTACTTTTGGTTAAAAGTATTTGAAACAAATATTGAATACTTTGACTTAGTAAAGACAAATTGATATTATTACAAGCAATTAATTTTTAAAATTGGTAAAAATATACAGTAATACTAAATTGCATCACTAGTGCTTAATACCAGTATGTAATATATAGGCTAATTCGATATATTTTCATTAGTATAATGTTTTCAAATTGTATATTAATTTTTTAAATTAACTAATAGATTGCTTTTTATAAAAAGATTATATATAACTTATATTCCTATTTTGGATATAGCAGCTCTATAGCAGCTTTATCCAAAAAAGGAAAAAACAACAAAAAAAGTTTTTTTTCTATATTGTTACAATTTACATCCAATTATTATATAGTTATTATTGAATATCTATCTAAAAATAAGTTTTTTTGCTATATCATAATTTTGTCACATACAAATGATTAACAAATACATTAAATTAGCTTATATAAATTTAAAAAAAAATAAACAAAAAATTAAATTTAATGAGAGAAGTGTCATTTATTATTTATTTTTTTTAACAGAAGGTGGTACCAAAATATTATGCTAATAGATCACATGTATATATATTTATATATAATTATAATTATTTGAGAAAGAGGAAGATTTTACTATTTACAAAAAATTAGATAATAACTGATACTTTTTTAAATATTAAGCTGAAGTTAATAGTTAGAGGTTAGAGTAAAGTATAATATATAGTAAAATTTGACAAGAAGTTTTTTTTTAAAAAGATAGTTTTATAGATAAATTTTTAAGTTAAAAGATATTTTTTTAATAGTTTAAATTTATCTGTACTAGATTTAGTATTTTTACTAGATTTAGTACATCTTGAAATCTAAATAATTTGACAATTTTATAATTTACTTCTCTATTAAATATTATTTTAATTGATGATTCACCACTCAACAGGTGTATGATCTTAGTAGAATATGACTTAGATTACTATATAAATTTACTATAGTGTGAATATGGCGATTGTACAAGGTAATCTTTTTCCGTACTAAGATAATTGATCTTGTCAATTAATTAAAAGTTGTAGAGCTTATCTTTGCGGTTCTAATGGTGGTTAAAGCATTAAAATTGGCATGGTGGGTGCCAAGATATCTTTAAAAAACTGTTTTTTTTACTATATAAACTTCTTTGCAAACATTAGTATTGTTTGCAAGGAAGTTTATATAGTAAAAGAACAGTTTTTAAAAAATATTTTGGCATCCACCAACCACAAAGATGAGCTTTACAACTTTTAATTAATTGACAAAATCAATTACCTTAGTATGAAAAAGTTTATCTTGTATAATCACCACATTTGCACTATAGTAAATTTATATAGTAATCTGAGTCATATTCTACTAAGATCATGCATCTGTTGAGTGGTGGATCATCAATTAAAGTATATTAGAATAGAGACAATTCATAAAAAAGTTTGATAGCTTTAAATAGTTTCTTGAATTTTATAATTTTTTTTTATTTCTAAAAATTTTAGTTTAAATTAATTTTATATAGTAATTACTAGTAATCTTAGTAAATATTTTCATTTATAAAAATTCTTTTTATTAAATAAATTTATTTAAAATTTTAATAAATTATAAAGATAAGTTAGCTAATAACAAATATAAAACTAGCTCATAAATTAAACTAATATATAAGAAGTAATTTCAAATTAAAGTTTTTACTAGTAAATACTATATAAATATTTTTTAAAATTTATATATAAAAAATATGTGTGATTTTTTTAAAATTTAAAGTAAAATAACTTATTATAAACTTATTTAATATCAGAGATTTTTTGTAATTAGAATTAGAAGATAAATTTTTATAACTTTCAATTAAAAATTTAAAAATTTTAATCAATAAAATTTTTTTTAATTCTAGCTAAACTTATATAGCTTACTAATAACTTACTAAAAATAGTAATAATTTATAGTAATTTAAAAAAGAGCTTATAATATAAATAATAATTATTACAATATAACTAATAATAATTTTTTTTTATAACAAGCCTCTAAAATATTTTATATATTTAAACTTTTAATTTGTAAAATCTATTAATAAATTACAGTTATAATTGGCTTTAACCTTGTACTAAATCTAGTACAAAAAAAACTACAAAAAATACAAAGTTTAAAATTTTTTTTACAATAATTTTATTATCAATACAGAAAAAAACATTGCCAGACAATTTTTGAATATTTATCAGATTTTTATATATAAAAAAAAATTAAATTTTAAATTTTTCTGATTTTTTATGAGTTTTGAAAAATGTACTAAATCTAGTACAAAACAGTAAATCCAATCCATTAAAAAAAATATCAAATTAACAAAAATTTATATTATACCTGATCTTTACACTGCATTTAAAAAATTTTATTGGTAAAAAACATTATGGTGTGGTGTGATTTAGTAAAACCACATATATATTATTTAAATAAAAAAAAAAACTAGTAATGTAGGCTGGCTTCAGTTTACAGCCAGATCAATGGGCAGGCCAGTTTTCAACCTACATCTTCATGTGCTTGTTTGGTCGATAAAAGATGGCTAGAATTGATTCTAAGGCTAAGAAATTAAATGTAAATATTCATTAATTGGCTAATTTAAATAATAAATTGGCAAATAACAGATATAAATAAAGAAATATTTGAATGCACAGTCCGTTAATCAATATTAAAACTAATATCTTAATACAACCCAAATAAAAACAAAGTAATTTTGTATCATTAGAATTTGGCAAAGAATCACCTAATATCTTTTTACACATCAAATATAGATATAATGGCTAATTCTAATTAGAAGAATTTACTAGTAAAAAGGTTGTCTTGGTCAATTAGCCCAAGCGTTTTATTGCAGCCAAGAATTTTTCTTCACGTATGTAGAGTCCCTATACCTTTTTTGGATTGGATCTATCTCACTAATAATTATACTACATTTTTTTTACTCATAAATTGATTGCCAAAGATAGTAAGGTATAACAGGTATAATTTAAATTTAGCACTAATGATATTGCATATACATTCAAAGACCAATGTTAACATGTGAAACATGCTATCTAATTGTATGCAAGATTTTGCACACAGATAGTTGCCTATAAACCATACACTTCGTACTTCGTAATACGTCCTGGGATTTTATATAAAAGTATTTTTTATTAAGCAAATTTATAACAAATAATTATATTTAAAAGATACAAATTTAAATTACTATTCACAAATTATAAGATAAAATTTCTGAAATATCTAATATTTCCGTTTCTCTCAATATTCTTATTCTACCATCATGTAATCTGACATCTTCAAAAATTTAAACAGAGGAACAATTCCGTTATTTATTATTTGTATTTATACTATAGTGTTCAAACTTTAACAATATCAAGATTAATTTAAGCAGAATCTGATTGAGATAAATCTAAATAAGTAAATAACATTATTTTAAATAAAATTAATACAGCATAAAATGAATATACTAGTTGTTATAAATACCTTTAACTGCCTCTGAAATTAATTTTGTACTAATAATTTTGCTAGTATACATTTCATCAAAATGCTTTTGTATTGGCAATGATTTAATAACTTTATCAGCATCTAAGAATTGATTTTTAATCTTAGAATCATTTAGCCAATCACGTATTGTAGCCAAAATTTCACTAGCACTAGGCCGTTTTTGCGGATCAGAATTCATACATTTCTCAGCCAATTCAATATAGCATTTAGGAGTTCCAGGTGCAAGCTCTGGTCTCTCTCCTCTGCAAATTTTTACAGCAAGTTTATGATCAAATTTATGACCATCAAAAGGTCTTTGTCCAGTTGACATTTTTGTCATAATAATACCAAATCCATAAATATCTGCTGCTTGCGTAAACTTCTCGCCTAATAAAACTTCCGGTGCAACATAGGGCATAACTCCATAAATCTCTTCTTCTAAAACTTTTTCATCTTTTTTTCTAGATAATCCTAAATCTGCGACATAGGATTGCAAATTTTTATTAGTGGATTGTTCTTGCAAAATGTTGCCACTATGAAAATCTGCATGGACATATTTTGCTATGTGAATATTATCTAATTCATCTGAAATATCTATAAGCATTTGCAATTTAGCCTGCCATGTAAGTTTACTAAAATTTCTTCTTAAATATTTATGAAGACTTCCATTATTAGCGTACCATTAGAAATTCATTTGTTTCTGTATTTTGAGTTATTCCATAGATTGCGAGTTTAGTAGAAGCATACTGTAATTTACATTCCATAAGACTTTTAAACTTAAAAGTTTAAGCAATAAGTTAAAGTCAGTTCTATAAAATTATTACATAAATTAATTTACAAAAAAAAGTAAATTAGCATACTTCTTTTAAAAAATCAAATTTGTTTTCTTTAGAATTGGCTAACGTCTTGAGTGCAACGGTGTTGGATGATTCACGCGCTTTTTTGTTTATATAACTATCAACTTTTCGTACACCATCCAACCAGGTTGCTGAATATACAAAGCCAAATCCTCCTTTACCAATTTCTTTGACATCAGATAATCTATTAAATGGAATCCATTCAATCGCATCTTCGTATGCACGGGTTCTAAGTTGGAATTCTTTCATGCAATCGTCAATAACATTATTTTTACTTGTCCACCTTGTTGTTGTGTCTGGTTCACATGATAGACACCATGCTTTGTTAGTGTTATCTTCATTGCAATGTGCACATTTTCCATATTCAGAATTTCTATATAATATATAATGTTTATTTCGCTACTTTATGCCAGATGTTAATAATTTTATACTCACCGACTAAATTAACGCGAATGAAGTGAATTAAACGTAATGGTAAATAAGTATTTGTATTCTTGTTTTGTGAACTTGTTTTTGCTGTTTTTATTTCATTGTTAATAAATGTTCTTTATACTCACAAACTAAATTAATGCAAATGAAATAAATTTAAGCATAATGGTAAATAAGTATTTAGTTCTTGTTTTGTGAACTTGTTTTGCTGTTTTTATTCCATTGATTAAAAATGTTCTTAATACTCACAAGCTGAATAAAATGATTGATGCGAATGAAATGAATTTAAACTTATGGTAAATAAGTATTTATTTTCGTCTTTTGTGAATTTGTTTTGCTGCTTTTATTTCCATTGATTAATAAATGTTCTTTATACTCACCGACTAAATTAATGCGAATGAAATGAATTTAAACGTAATGGTAAATAAGTATTTAAGTTCTTGTTTTGTGAACTTGTTTTGCTGTTTATTTCCATTGATTAATAAATGTTCTTTATACTCACGAGCTAAATAAAATGATTAATGCGAATGAAATGAATTTAAACGTAATGGTAAATAAGTATTTAAGTTCTTGTTTTGTGAACTTGTTTTGCTGTTTTTATTTCCATTGATTAATTTATACTCACTCACTGAATTAAATGATTAATGCGAATGAAATGAATTTATACATAATGGTAAATGAGTATTTATGATCTTGTTTTGTGAACTTGTTTTCTGTTTTTATTTCCATGATTAATAAATGTTCTTCATACTCACAGACTAAATAAAATGATTAATGCGAATGAAATGAATTTAAACGTAATGGTAAATAAGCATTTATATTCTTGTTTTGTGAATTTGTTTTGCTGTTTTTATTCCCATTGATTAATAAATGTTCTTTATACTCACCGACTAAATTAATGCGAATGAAATAAATTTAAATGTAATGGTAAATATTTAAGTACTTGTTTTGTGAACTTGTTTTGCTGTTTTTATTCCATTGAATAATAAAAGTTCATTATACTCACTAACTGAATAAAATGATTAATGCGAATGAAATGAATTTAAACGTAATGGTAAATGAGTATTATGATCTTGTTTTGTGAACTTGTTTTGCTGTTTTTATTTCCATTGATTAATAAATGTTCTTTATACTCACGAGCTGAATAAAATGAATTTAAACGTAATGGTAAATAAGTATTTATGATCTTGTTTTGTGAACTTGTTTTGCTGTTTTTATTTCCATTGATTAATAAATGTTCTTTTTACTTACATGCTAAAATAACATATAATAAATATTTATGAGCATTAATTGCTAATATAGATTAATGAATTCACTTTATACTCACTCTCTAATAATTAAAAAATTGGATAAGCTTTCAAATTTTCAGATTTTCAGATAAAGAATTTATAATACATTATAATAAAAAATTAAAAATTAACATACTTCTCGAACCATTTCCAATATTTATCATAATTTTTTTCCACGCCAATTCCATAAAAGTAACAAATGGCAGTTTTCCAAATTCCCATAGAATTACCAGCCTCAGCAGACTTCAGATAATATGTAAACGCTTTATGCTTATCAACTTCAACTCCAATTCCTAAATAATAACAATAACCAACTTGATACATTCCGTTAGAATCATTCATGTCAGCCGATTTTTGATAGTATTTAAATGCCATGTTTTCATCCTTTTCAATATCAATTCCATATTCGTAACAATATCCAAGCCTGTAAATTCCGTCTGTATCACTCATATCTGCCAATTATTGACAACTGAAATTATCGATTAATTTGGTCAAATTTTCGTTAGACATTTTGATTTATGAAAAAAAAGAAGTACATACGTACGTACGTACGTTGGCGCTGTTTTATTACTTGTGCGTTGGTTAAACAATATTACCCAAATTATTATTATACCTGACAGCGTTCAGCAATGGCATGTAGTACTGGGGTGTACGATACAATATCTAATTAAGGCTTTTCTGCACCACGAAAATCACACTAACCATACTAGGCAGAGATTGTTTCACAGTAAACGTGAATATAAGCAAGGTTGTATAATTTGATATTTTAAGTCCGTAGAAAAATTGAATATGAAATTTTTATGTTTTATTAGTTTCGGCCTTTTACTTTTTGCATCAATTTCTTTGTCAAACACAAATCTTCAAACGATAAAATATTTAGATACTGTAAAATATTGGTGTGGAAAGCCTTATATTCCAAAAAATCAGTTAATCAAAAATGCTAAACAATTGAAAATTAGCATTAATCAGTGTAGTGAAGAAGAAAGGTTTGACTCAACAAACCAAAATGAATCAAATTATACTGGCATTTTTCCATCAGAAACGCCTTCAACGATTAAATTTCCACCAACAAACGATCCAGTCCCTCTGGTTCCAGATCTGAGTGACGGATATACAGCCATGTTTCGATATCAGCCTTATCTAAGTACTGATTTGGTCGGTTCATTAATAGTTACTATAACAAATGCTATCTCGACTATTTCTGTCAAAGCATTGTTGCATGATGGATCTGAAATACTTGAAAAAACTAAAATAAAAAATGATGGAGACTCAATTGAATTGCCTTTTTCGCTCGCAAAAATTAAACCAAAATTGAAAGCATATGAAGTCAAGATTTTATTCTATAACGAAGATCTGCTAGTTCATATTACATATACAAAGCTCTATCTTCTTCCCGTAGGTCAGTTTTCATTAATTATTCTTGAATCATAAACTTTTTTTGCTATAAATATGGTCCTCTTTTTTTTTTATAAATTATTAGGACAAAAAACTGTCAAGATTGATCGGTTATATGGTGGAATTTTGACCTCAACAAATGAAACAATTTTTCCTGTTGGGCCGTATGTTGATATTGGTGGATGGTTAGAGAAGGGTAAAGAAAGTTCTCTTTACATTTTCACTCGCACACATACATTTTTTTTAAAATTAATAAATAAAATTTGGAAATTTACATTTCGTTTATAAAGGAAACATTCAAATTAATCTCCAGATTCTCAAAGACCAGAATTTCAATATAATTAACCCTGATCCACCATATCCAAATATTTCATTCATTCATCAGATGTTTCAAGCAGCTGATGCTATAGGCGGAATATATATTCAATATTCATTTCGGCATGATTATGTTGATATTCAAAAAGTTATAAATCAAGTAAACCAGTTTAAGAATTATTCAAGTTTACTTACATGGTATATAGTAAGTTTATTACAATTATTTAATGTAATTTTTTTTTTTAAAAAAAAAATCCATAACTCATAACTAAATTATTATTATTTTGATTAAAAATATAATCGATTTAAGGCAGATGAACCAGATGGTGAAAAATGGACAACTAGTTCTGCTGTTTTTGAGGCATATGAAGCAATAAAAAGTGTAGACCCATACCATCCTGTCTCTTTGACGCTAAATTGTAAATATAGTTCTGCTTTTTATGCAGATGCTACTGATATATTGGGCACCGGTATGTGTTTATTTTCTTTGGTAATTCTTTAATGTCTTAATTAACAAAATTATCGTTATTAGACGTTTATCCAGTTGGTGTCGACATGTCACATTGCACGGAATACAGTGATGTGTGTGGTTGCGATGATTGTATAGGAAGCGTTTCACTTGATATACCAAAACGAACACAACAATATGTAAGAGACTTGACTCTCATAGGTCGAGAATCGAATTTAAAATGGATGGTACTTCAAGCTTTTTATGATCGAAATTCTTGGTGGGAAAGGGCACCAACTTCTCAAGAAATCAGAGTTATGTGGTATATTTCAATCATCTACGGATATAAGGTTTGTTTATTAAAAAATAGATATCATAAATTTTGCTTTTCAAAGATTTTTGAACTATATTAAATAATTATATTTTAGAGTCTCATGTTTTGGAGATTTCCTTTTTTTCTTGATCACTCAGTCATTGATCAAATCATTGATCTAAGTAAAGAGATTAAAGACCTTTCAAATTATATACTATTTATGCCACAGCTTTCAATTTCTCATATAATAGTTTCACCCGCTAACGACGTTTATGTTGGTGTGTGGATGGCAAAAAATAAACCCGAGTTTTTGTTGATTGTAGTTAATGGTAATGATAAACTTTCCGTAACTTTTAGAATAACCATCAAAGATTTGTATTGTTTTGGCTCATTACACGGGATCGGAAGAATAGATGATGAAAAAAATGTTGAAGTTATCATTAAGGATGGTGTGTTTGAAGGCAATTTAAATAAATATGGCGTTGGGACCTTTATTTTTAAAAAGGATTTGGCCAATAGAGCCCATATAAATTGTCATGAATAGTAAATTATAAAATTATTATATCATAATTATAATTTACGGATCAAAATAAAATTATCGAGAACAAATCAATATTATGACTCGGAAAAAATCATAAAAATATTGTATAAACTGTAATTAAATACTAATGCTTATAATTAACGTTTGCATTTATATATTCCAAGATTGGGTTTAAATATTTGAATACTTAATTTAGATTTTCTTAGGGCAGCAATGATCGTTAAGTCTACCGAAACACTATTTTGTAATTTGTATAATTTGAAAATTCGGCAATCTTTTTGTATCTTCAACTTTCATCTAAATAACTCAAGTTTTGGATACTTTTAGTTGATAACTTTCATATGTTGTGCATTGTTAAATAAGTAAATTGTATTTTATAATAAACTGCTTTTTTTATTATAACCTATATGCTTTTATAGTAAAATTAATAATCGTTATATATAAATTATATAATTACACTGATAACTATAAAACTATGACAACTAAATTTAGGTTATAATATTCAAAATTTTTAAATAATCAATTTTACATTTTTAGAGTTTAAATCTCTTAATTCATTAATTTCCCGAAATGGGAGACGAAATATTACAGAAATTTCTGGCTTTAGGTGTTTCTTTTTTTTAAAGTATGACCTTGACTGGTTTTACAAATATATCTGATTCGGAAATTATCATCTTACAAGAGCTAGGTTAACTTTAAACGATGAATTCAATTATTTCGAGTTATTGAAATGATTTATTTTATTTTAGTCTTACTTTCTTATTCTTGTCTGATACAAAAACTGACGTCGGAAAGTTAACCCTAAATAGTATATTATATTACTAAATTTAGTTGATTGTTATCAATTTTACAGTAATTAATAATATTTTATACATATACATTTGGAGATTTAGTTAAATTATATCTGGATCGAACCCTAATTATGGAAGCCGACATTTATCTAGACCTTACAAAAATTTAATGCTATGTAAAAATGGCATTAATTTCCAGACAAACTTATTTTAATTAGGCTTACGTGTACGTACTCACCTTAGTTTAACAAATAAGCATAATTGATTACAATCCCCAAATCCACATTAAAATACCTGACGTTTGATATACGCGTTTTACTGATAAAGAAATAAAAGAGTAAAGGATGAATATCTTTTCTGTATTTATTCATTCATTAATTAATATAATTTTTATGTAGGCTTACTGCATTTATCTTTCTTAAACTTGGATTTCATTTAAAATGGCATAATATTTTAACAGAAGGTTTTGAATTTTTGAATCTTTAATATAAAAATCTTATGACGCAAAATTTTTAAAACAATAATTTATTCATTTACTTTAACCGGTTCACCTTAATGGAAATTTGTGATGATGAATATTATGAGAAATTCTTAGATAATATGTATCATGCGTACCTATTAAAGTTCAGGACATTAATGCAGTATACTGTACTAGTGATTATATTTACGAAATAACATTTTTGCAATTGCTTGTAGAAGGATTATATCGTAGCTGTTTTATGACTATCTCTTGGTTATTATCAATAGATTTTCAATAAGTTTATTATTCCATCGCTATTTTATAGATTTTTTACGGGAATATTCACCAAAATTTCGATTGAAAATAAAATCTTTGCTCTATTCCATTATGATAATATGTAGACAAATGCGGAAATTTTACAAATTTACGTTTTTGATGCGATAATATAAATCAATTAGTGAAAAATCAAAAACGTAATTATTAATGCGACTTTTGTATCACTTTGATTAAACTTAAAAAGTCTTCCGCTACACTCCGGACAATTATTTCCTTAAAAAAAAATGAACTCAAACCAACTTCGTGATCTTGGTTACGATTATGAATATGGTATCGGTGTTGAGAAAGATGAAAAGAAGGCTTTTGAATATTATTTGAAAGCAGCTGATTTAGGAAATAAGACTGCGATGAATGATGTTGGTGCTTGTTATCGTAATGGAAATGGTGTAAATATAAATTACCAGAAAGCATTTGAATATTTTAAGAGATCTGCTGATTTGGATAATGTTTATGCAATTTGTAACATTGGTACTTGTTATGAAAATGGACTCGGGGTTGATCGAGATTATAATAAAGCATTTGAATACTACAAAAAATCTGCTAATATGGGTGCTAAAGAAGCAATGAGAAATGTTGCTAAACTTTATCGAAACGGTATCGGCACAAAGCGAGATATTCAGAGTGCAAATTATTGGTTTACAAAATATAGAAGTTAATAAATCACCAGATAATATCAATCCTGAACTTAAGAAAATATTAGAGGATGAGAGGTTTAAACTACCTTGGATTAATTATAATGAATTTAGAAATATCGATGAGATAGGAAAAGGAGGATTTTCAACTGTATATTATGCACGTTGGTTCGATAGAATTAATGGTTTGTGGCAAAGTGGTGCACTTAAAGTGATTCATAATTCAAACGAAAACGAACATGAATTTATTTATGAATTAAAGAATTATTGTGAAATTGGTTACAAGAATCCTTCGTTCTTGGGATGTAAGGGAGTGTCAAGAAATGATCATGGTGATTACATTATTGTTATGGAATATGCATTAAAAGGAACGTTACGACAAAATCTTGTACAAGTAACACAACTGGAATGGAAAGATAAATTGAATATCTTATATTGTATAGTTTTGGATCTTGAATCGATTCATTCGCAGGAGCTCATTCACAGTGATTTACACAGTGGAAATATTTTGCAAAGAGGTAATTTGTGTAACGCATATATAACAGATCTTGGACTTTCTAAAAAAGTAAAAGAAGGAAAAATTTGTGGAATTTTGCCGTATATAGCACCTGAGGTTTTGGTGGGTCAACTGTACACTCAAGCATCAGATATTTACAGTCTTGGAGTTATCGCGACAGAGATTTCGACTGGACAAAGAGCATTTGATGGAATTCCGTTTGATAATTGTCTTGCATCAATGATTATCGGTGGATCAAGACCTAAATGTTTAGGACCAGATTGTTATGTTAAATTAGCTATGAGATGTATGGATAACGACATTGATAAACGACCTACAGCATCAGATATTATTAAAATAATCACTCGTTGGTTAGAAGAAATGGATCAGGAAGATGATAATGAAATTAAAAAACAAAATTTGGAAGCTAATGAGATTAAATCAGAACCGATTGAGCAATTCCATTCTCAAGACGTATATACAAGTAAGATATATGATGCGAAGAAAATTTTAGAATATGGTAGCAAACAGATTAGTACTGTAGAACTTAAGATTTAAATTAAATTATATAAAATGTGTTTATGTAACATATGCAATTATACAGTAGTAATTTTTCTTAATTATAAAAAATTTCTATAGTATCTAAGCAATTATATTACAGAAATAACAATTTCTTTTTATTTAACTATAAACTTAAGATAATTATTTTCATTAATTTTTGTTTATTGGTCTGTCTTTAGGGCAAAAACCTTTTTAAAATAAATTTATCTTTTTTTGCATCGAAATACAATTTTTAAATCTGTACATTTATTCATGATATAGAGAATTGTGGTTTAAAAAAGATAATTATTTAAGAAACAATGACCGTACTCAAGTTTTTTGGGTTATGAGTTAACTTTCTGAAATCCAATTTTCTGAAATACCAAAACATCGAAATCACAATACTGACAATCCATTTTGCTCGATTTTACTGAAAGACATAATTTTCATCATTTCAGATTGTAAAAAATTTTGCTGAAATTTCTATCGGCGAAATGGGCTAGCAGGTGTTGTCTGAAGATAAAGGTTGTCGAGTATTATGGGATCAGAAATAATAATTTGAGAAGGTGGACTTGTAAGAAATAGCAGTTTAGGACTTTACTAAGGTACCAATCGTGTTTATTGCTGTGCTGAACAACTTTATCTGGCATTTTTAAAGATCTGTTTTTAAGGATAATTGTTGCTAGTTATTTATTAGTTGAAAATAGTTTGGCAAAAATTTTTTTTTTACAAATTAAGCTATAATTTTTCAAAAAAATTCGAATTGAACAAACAAAATAAAATGTCAGTTGAACCTCTCAAAACCGATTCTGTCAAAATTGATAACCCGTAAAAATTGATAAAATTAATCTTCCTGTCCGTTTCTGTTAAATGATTTAATAGTATAGTTTATAATGTTTTAAATCTGATAACCTCACAATACTGATACAAAATCTGACTATTTTAAATACTCTGTTTTATATATATATATATTAAATACTCAGTGTTACATTTTTTTTTTTAAATACTCAGTTTTACTTTTTTTTTTTTTTTTTTTAAATACTCAGTTTTACATTATTTTTTTAAATACTAACTTTTACATTTTTTTTAAAAAGTATAAATCTCTTAATTCATTAATTCCCGAATCGAGAGAAAAAATTGGATGAAATTTTACATGATTTGGGGTGTTGCTTTCTTAAAAAGTGTGACCACGATCTTATTATATGTCCTAAATAGAATGCTATCATCGGGAAATTTTTTTTAGTGCAGTTCTGTGCAAAAAAATTAAATAATAAACTAAATGAAAATCTGTGCAAAACTTCAAATCTGGTAGCTATAACTGCAGAAATTAAATGCTATTTCTGTATAAAACTTCAAATTTTATAAAATTTTGTAGATTTTTTGTAAAAAATCCGCAAAAATCTGCAAAATTACAGATTTTTGCAAATTTACACTTATTTAATTTTTCCTGATGATTAGTAAAGATTGGCTTTACTGGTTTTATAAATATATCTGATTCAAAAATATGCATCTTGTAGAATCTTTAAACAATGAGTTCTCATTTTTTATCAATTATTTCGAGTTATTGAAAGTGACTTGTTTTTATTTTAGTCTTATTTTCTTATTCTTGTCAAATACAAAACTGATGTTGGAATGTTAATGCTAAACGGTATATAATATTACGACTGTTATAGTGATTGGCGTCGTAATCATGTGATGCTAATTGTCACATGATACAATATATAAAAATAAACAATTAGATTGTTGAT